GAGTAATTGGAATAAATGGATCTGCAGTCAAAGTCTCATTCTTCTCTTCAGGTCAATGTCTGGCTGATAATTTCTACGTGAGAGGAGATGGAACCAGAGTTTATTTCTTCACACAAGGTAATCAGATGACAATCCTACCCAGTAACAAAAGCTTACATGCCAGTGTGAGGTTGGTCCCTAAGGACTGAAGCATTTTGGTTTATTTGCTCTCCAGTTCTTTATTTCTTGAAAAACAGATAACAGAAATTGAAAAAGCCCCAAAACAGCATTTCTGTTACAACTTTTGTATGCCCATAGAACTATAGTGTGTGGTCCCCAACCATGAAAACTAGCTATTAACTAGATATTTTTAAATGCTAACATCATACTAGTAATACACAAAGCTCAAAATGAAAGAGGTAAGTAAAAAAAAAAAACCCTACTAAAACAACATTCTAGTTTACATAGCCTTGGTTCACAGAAAAAAGATGCAAGTTTAGCTATTAGGAAAATGTTGCAGGCTCTGCTTCATTGTAACCAATTTATCATGATATCCCAATTGGACAAATTGTGACTATTACTCTAAATTAGCATTTAGAGTAGATGACTGTAGAATATATAGGGTGCTTCTAACCAGACCTTTTATCATACAAGTAGACTATCCTGTTCTCCAAATGTTATAAGTGATCCAGACAATGGTATCCTTTATTTATAACATCTTTGTATTATGCCACTGCTTCTTTTGTCTTTTTTTCACACCACTGACAATCCAAAAGACAGAGTAATTGCCCAGTGCCCTTTGACCAGGAGTGCCAGGAGCTCTCTGCCTGAATGCACTTCTACCTTCTTTTCTATTTTTTCCATGATGTTGGATTTTAATCTTCAGCCATAAAATATGCGGAGGGTGTAGAATTGGGGCAGGGTGCGCTTGCAACTGAAAGGCTTTTAGTTCTTTATCTTCTGCTGAGGAGAGGATTACCTTATAGCTTCTGCCATTCTCATTGGAGCTGTACATTCTCATTAGAGAAATACATTAATCTTATAAGGCTTATAAAACCAATTCAGGGTGCTGGTTGTCACCTTTCAAATTCTAGCTGGTCTGGTGGCAGACTATCTGAAGATTTCTCTTCCTAGTTATGAGACTACATGACGACTTCACTTGTTTTCTATCGTGACTACCTGACAGCGTCTCTTATTTTCTGAGGCTATAGTTCTGAATGATTTCCATCAGAAATATGGGGGAAAATATTCTGTGGTACTAAACATACACAACAGTCTCCCTAAAAGAGTCTGGCTAGCCTGTATAGAATTTCCTCTAAACTGTCTGATCAAAACTGTTTTCCCTACAAGCTATCATTTTGTTTTAATAATTTGGCTTTATTGATATTTCTGGATTTCATTGCCATGTAGTGAGTTAATGATTATTAACTGAAAATTGCCTTTTACAACAATAAATGGTAAAAGTTAGATAAATTAAATTTTTTCCTTTGTCTCATAGATGAGTTGGATTTGCTGTTCTCTACTGCTGGCTTAGAGAAAATTCAGAATATTGTTGATCGCCGCCTCCAGGTGAACAGAGGAAAACAAATCACCATGTACAGAGTCTGGATCCAGTGTAAATACCAGAAGCCACAGGGAGATAATGAGCTTATAGCAGGGAGAATTTCTTCAATTATTAATTGAACCTAATGAGACCCTCCTTATCTGGGAGAATGCTCCCATGCTATAGAGGAAATCATCATACATATGACACACCAATATGATTCTGTTGTGCTGTTCTTGGAGCATCATTACTTTTTGATGGTGAACATTTTAAATTTGGAACAGAGGGAAAGTTTGCCAGTTTGCTCAGCATTTGTAATGAGTTTGGATACAACCTTGTACATTGCAGAACTCTTTCTGAATTCTCATGAGTTGCATGATTACGTAAGTTAGTTGGGCTTATTCATCATTCCTGAAGAAACCGCTTCAGTCCCAGTTTATCCATTATCAAACTGGCTTTCTCTTCTCACATGGTCTGGAGGAGAAGTCCTTTTTTCCTTAGTTTAAAAAGATTGTGTTAAATTTTGTAATGTGCATTTAGCCGATGCTGAACCCATGTAGTTTTTTTATATATATATAAGTGTCTGAGAGTTTTCTAATTCTAAAAATATCAGCATTTAAGACGATTGTATCAGTTTCTGATTACTTAAGGAGCTGATGCTGTCTTTAGTCATAGAGCTGAGATTGTTTTTGTATCCTAAGATAGCTTTTCCAACTTTGGAAGTTCTACAATATTGTACAGGCAAGCTGATTGGCTCTTAGATCAAATTTTTCAAGTTTAATTACTGGTAAGTAGCATGTTTTTCCCCTTATGTTCTTGCATTGTCCCTGAATAGGCATAGCTCAGAATAACTAAGATCATGCTAGACAAACAAAACAAATAAGGTGTCCTTAGGAATATTGTTCCCTGTCAAGCTAAGACACAGAATAAGGAGCACATATTGCATGGAAATGATATGGATAGCAAGTACAGGACAGAAATGAAACCACAAGCACTCCTATGGTGCTGAATATGTGCTTGCAAGATTAACAGGTATGTTTGTCCTTTGACTAGGCTCATACAAAGCCTATTCTTAGCATGACATGTTAAAGTATGACCAATGTGTCTGACACTAAGAGCACATGCTATGCAATTAGGTCTATGGTAGGAATGTGCAAACATCGAAACTCACGCTTCTAATTTTTAACAGCAACGTTTGTGACCCTTGGAATACTCCAGGTGTAGTTAAGTTCAAGACTATTTGGTCATAGATGTGGGATAATGGGAGGATGGGACATAAGAGGCAAATGTTCTTATAAGCCCCAATAGCTTCCTTCCATCTCTTATGCTCTACATCCTTCCTTGTTCATAATCTCACAGATCAAAGTTTTCAGACACCTCCACATCAGATTTGTGAAGCTCTGCATTTCCGTAGGCCCAGAGTTTCAAAGATTGTTGTCATTTTAGCACAGCAGCACCAACCTGTGAAAGATATATGAAGGCTTATAGTATTTACTGGCAGGAACTTCCAGATTGTCACCCAATTCTCCATCTGGGCTCTGGATACCTTTCATCACTGCAGCAAATTGGTTTTCTTCCTTGTGATCAAGAAAGATTTCACAGGTCTGAGAAATACCTTTTATGCAGGTGAAGGCTCACTGCAATGATCTGTATGTGATGGTGTGGTAATGCTTATTTTGGTGCCAAATGGTAGGCTCCTTTGCAATCACAGTTGACATAATCATAGGATCAGTACATGTAGGAATATAGATGCTATATAATAATACGAAAGCTTTTAATATTTTCCTGTTCTGAAGAGCAAAGGACTTATGTTATTGGTAGGAGTGTGTCTGTGGAAGATGAGGAGGAGGTCTGAGCAGGATAAAATGATACACCTCCTTTTCTCCCTTAGGAGACTGGTGTAATTTATTTCTT